GGGTCTTGCAGCCAGCAGTGTCAATATCATCTGGGAATAATTACAAAACGAGGAGGCATAGTCAGCGTAACTCCCCATGCCTGGCAACCAGCTTGAAGGTTTCTCTGGGGTTCCCTTGGCTAAGATGCCAGTCCATGCAGTTGGCTTGGGTGGAGCTTAAAATTTTATTTTGGCTCACACCTGTTAAATTGTATGGGAGGCCTTTGCTTTACTGATCTCCTTTACTAGATTCCAACAGACCAGATCAAACTAAAATGGAGTCTCTCATGCTAAGGGCCACATGATTAAACTAAAACATTAAGGAAATAGACCCCCAAACCAGTGTTTCCTGGAAACAGGAGATTCACAGCAACCAATCCAAAACAGCTCAGTCAATCTGAGTCATCAAAATAAGGAAGTCTCTTCTGCTCTAAACCTTAGAAAAACAAGTAACCTAAATCACTTGATGTCAAGCAATTTGCTTGTTTCTGTTGGTCTGGGGGTTATTTTTGTTCCCACCTTACAAAAACAAAACATTCTATAAAGCCCGGAAGAGCAGGAATTCTGTTTCATAGCATGAAATGCTGCCTGCTTCTAGAATTGCAATTACATCTTTAAACTTGCAATTTCCCCTTAACCTTGACTTAGTTTCACAATAAAATGAAAAAGCAAAAACAAAACATATTCTCTAACTTTCTCGGGAAAGGTTAGGAAATATGACAACACTGAGCCTTGGTTCCTGCAGAAGAGTAAGTGCCTGCTGCCAAGGAACACAAAAAGTGGGTGTGTTCCAGGGAGTAGTGGAAGGTTCAGTGTGCCCATCTAGAAGTTGTTCTTGAACAAAAATTTTTACTTCTTTTAATCTCTCCCCTTTCGATGGCCATTGTTCCATCCGAACTGGAGAGTCAGATTTCCAGGTGAGTTTGAATGGGTGATTCATGTCAGTAGCCATTAGATAAATTTGATTTGGTAGAGATTTTTATTTTCCATTGGGACAAGAGATCCTTGTCCCATAAAGCGTAGGGGATATTCATAATTTAAGGCTTTAAAAATGACTTTTGCCCATCCGGCCCAGCAAAAGGCAGGCGATGTTTACTCATGAGGGAATCTGGATTCTTCCCACACCAGTGACGGTAGTCAAAGAGGCTTCAGTTTCCCAATTAGGAGGTCAATCTCTGGTGGAAATAATAGTGATATCAGCACCTGTATCTATGATTCCGGTGAATTGTTTGTCATTTATAGTAATGAAAAGCAAAGGCTGTTTGGAATTGATTTTGGCAGCCCAAAAAACAGATTCAAAAGGTTGTGAGGAAGAGACTGGCCGGAGGTGCTGGGGGTATGGTAGGGTGGCTGTCTACCACAATGGGGCAGCGGCAAGGGTGGTGCCACCGAAGGCCTGTGTGGGAACTGAGGGATGGACACCAGAACCAGCTCCCCTCCCCCAGTTTCCTGAGGGGAGGGGGAAGATTGACTTTATCATCAAATTTTAGAGTGGCATCGACTGGCCCAAAGAAAGCCTTTGTTACATCTGGGACAGACCTTTTGTGGGGGATTGGATTTTTGTGGCTTATTATCAGTTTGAAGGGGACAGGACCTTTGGAAATGTCCATTTTGGCAACATTTAAAGCATTTTTTGTTAGTATTCAAAGCCATGGCTAGGCCTTGAACTTGGACCTGTGCAGCAGCCTCATGGCTAAAACATTCAGAAGTGACAACTTGGCAAGCTTTGATGAAATCAGCTATTAGAGCTGGAGGCTTGATCGTAAAATTGGGCAAAATTACCTGCTGGCAATCAGGGTTGGCACTGGTATATGCCAACTGGTTTAAAAGGACTTCACCAGCATCTGGGTGATCAATTTGGTGCTCTATAGCCTGCTGAAGGTGAGTGATAAAATCTAAATAGGGCTCTTCAGGCACCTGCATGATGTTACCAGTCGTGCCTGCAGGGGAAGTAGGGCCAGGTGCTTTTTAAACCAGCCTTTTACAACACAGAGGACCAAAGCTGGAAGACCCTATGCTCCGGGTGTACTTACTTGTTCTATCCTAGAAAATTCGCCTCTGCCAGCAAGCCTATCAAACACAGTACCATTATCTCTAGTTCCAGTGGGTTTTTTGGCAATACAGAAACGATTTTCTTCCAATTCACGTAACCAAGTGCTATAACGAGCAGGGGCAAATAGAAAGTCTCCCGGGAGAAAGGGTCACAGTGTTGCAATTAGAGATATCTATGAAGGCCCTGGTGTAGCTATTCTGGATGCCATTCTAGCTAGCGCCCTAAGAGCTTTCATAAGTTTAAATGGGAGGGCAACATGTTTGGGGGCCCTTCTGCATTCAGAAATTTGAACAGGAAAAGCCTACAAAATTTCTTCAGGCTCAGAGTCTTCCTGCAAAGCTTGAGCAAGCATAATGTCAAGAGATAATTCTAGAGGCATGGGTGGGGAGGAAGCTGGGGCACCAGCTGTGAGTTAGGTGACTGTCTTTCCTCTTTTACCTGGGGTGGGGGCTCCTCCTCCTTCTTATCAGGGGGGTTAATGAAACTGTCATTAGAGGAATATTTAGGGGGATTTGAGGAAAGTGCCACTGCTGCTGGCAGGCTGCTGGGTTGAACTGGCCGTAGGCTAGACAGCACAAATTCTAGAATCTAGATGGTCCAAAGCTAGATGCCACCTGGGCCTAAAGATTGGGGTAAACAGGTGACAATTATCTCACTTAATTTCAAACTACCTCTCTCCAGATACCACAGGCATTGGTGGCGAATGACAACAAGAAGGTCCGTAAGGCCCTGGTTAGGACTTTACAGCTGGAGGCACAGAGGAGTTTTGGGAGTTGTAATCTGTGTGCCATTTGTTCTTTAGTAAAAGACTGACATATCACTTAACGCCGTGGCAACTGCAGGTACAAAATAAAAAACAGACAAAAAAAATAGAAGAGCCGCTCTCAGCTAGTGGAAAATCTTGATAAGATAAATGCAGGTCCCGAGTAAAATAGAAGGGGTCTCAAGTGGTATGGAAGGGGGGGTGAGGACACGACTGCTGTTCCCTGGCCCAAACGAAGAGAAAGTACTTAAGTGGGAGGTATAGAACGCAGGGCAGAAAGTAAAGGTGCATCCAGAGTGTGTAAGGAGGATCCGCAGTTCACAATGTGGAGTGGTGAGGGGGAACTCCTCCCTTTACTTAAATGGGACAGCTCCCAAAGCAGGGAAAGGGTGAAAAGAAGCAAAGGGACTGGCTGACACCCTCGGGACGGGCGGTCTGCCTCCCTTCCCCCAAATCCCCTTTTAAGAGAGCTGGAGAGTGGCCCATCCAGACTCTGTCAAATGAGGCCATTTATCCCCAGCAAACAGACTACCAGCAGGAGAAGAGTAAGGTGACCAGACGTCTCGCTTTTGGCGGGACAGTCCTGATTTTTAACAATTTGTCCTTCATCCTGCGGCATTTTAAAAAAGCCCCAATTTTCGGAAAGAATGCATGACAAGCTAGGGAACACAGGAGAACAGGAAGGGAATATATGGTTTTTGGCCGCCATGTGGCTATTTCACCAGGATATGAGTTTTATATTATTTTTGTTAATTTTATAATGTTAAACTTTAATAATAACACATAATTGTTGAGAACTGATTAGCGAGAACTGCTTATCAAAGTTTGCATTGTTGTCAGGCCCCGCCCCCCCCATGGTGTCCCGCTTTACCAATGTTAAAATCTGGTCACCTTAGAGAAGAGAGGAGAGGGAAGTTTTTCCCCAGCCTCTTAGCTACCAGCAGGTTGGCATAAGCCCCCCCACCCCATTAGGTCAGACCTCCAGTTGGAATCACCCCTGCCCAAAAAAAGGGGGAAGCTTGGAGTGGCTGCCTTATGCCATAGGAGGTTCTGGAGGAAACGGAGGAGCGGCACAGTGTGAGAAGCGTGCTTGGTGCAAACTCCAACAACAGATACTTAAAATGAGGCACAAGAAAGGAGAAAGAGGGGGTTCGTTAAACAGAAATAGAGGAAGTGAAAATGAAAGTGTGATGTACAGGCTAAAGAGAGAGAGAGAAAAAATGTAATCCCACCATCAGGCATTTGTACCCGGTGCCTTTGTTCTCTCTTACCAAGAGATGAACGAGGCTGGCCTGTCTGCATGTGATCCTCCTGAGCACCTATGAGATCAATGTTTCCTCTTAGCTCCACCCCTGGGCACCAATTGTCGGAGACATCGCCTGCAGACCCCAACCTGGAATGAGAGTCAACAGGGGAAACAACCCTGCATCAGATATTTGGTTTCTTTCATTCCATAGGTTGTTTTTCTGTTTTCTTGGTTCTTTCCTTTGCTGTGAAGAAGTTTTTAGTTTGATGTAGGCCTGCTCGTTTGTTTCCTTTCATTGGCCTGTGCTTTTTATGCTATAGCCAAAAACTCACTGCCAGGGCCAGAGTCAAGGAGCCTTTCGTCCATGTTTTCTCTAGGAGATGCAGTTTCAGGTCTTACATTTAAGTCTCTAATCCATTTTGAGTTAACTTTTGGGTATGTTATGCAATAAGGGTCCAAGTTCATTCTTTCCCAAGTGGCTTTCCAGTTTTCCCAGCACTATCTATTAATTAAACAGGCTGTCCTTTCCTAATTGTGTTTTCTTAGTAGGCTTGTCAAAGATAAATTTGGTTAATATGTGTCTGTTTATTTCTGGGTGCTGTATTCTGTTCCACTGGTCTCTGTTCTTATGCAAGTACTATGCTGTTTTGACTACTATAGCTTTGTAATCAATGGTGATGAGCCACATAATAACATTTTGGTCAATGATGGACCATCATCATATATGATGGTCCTATAAAATCATAACAAGAGCTGGCTCAGAGTCCTCAGCTCAGTGGTTACAGCACCAGCCACATACACTGAGGCTGGTGGGTTCAAACCCGTCCTGGGCCAGCTAAACAACAATGACAACTGCAACAAAAAATAGCTGGGCATTGTGGCAGATGACTGTAGTCCTAGCTACTTGGGAGGCTGAGACAAGAAAATTGTTTGATCCCAGGAGGTTGCTGTGAGCTGTGACACCACGGCACTGTACTGAGGGTGACAAAGTAAGACTGTCTCAAAAAATATATAATAGAGCTAAAATTCCTATTACCCTAGTGACATCATAGCAATGGTTAAAACAAACAAAAAATAATCCTACATGCTTTGGGTATCTCTATGTGCTTTTCACTTTGGAGCTTGGGATTAGGAGTCTGGGTCAGGAACACTTTCCCAGAAAGCTGGTGATGTGACTCCCTTACCAACAGCAGAGTACAGGACTGTCCACATATACGTACATGACACATCCATAAATCTCTAGAAATATCTAAGGGAAGCTTTGTGTGGGACCGATGGGTAACACAGTAATTAATCTGTGATACTTGGGCTGTTCATGTGGATGGGTTGTTTGTCATTCATAACCATGGGTTGGCAGGGCCTGGGACAGTTTGGGTTAGAAATGCAAAACGTGGTACAACAGGTCAGGGACACAGAAGGGACACCGACCTACTCTCTATCAGGGAGCCAAAGAAATTTCACAGCCCAGGCTAAAACCTGAAGCAGAAAAGGGAATTCAGGGGGTTCGGTGATAAGAATCGGAGGTGGAGGGAATTGCCTTCATAATGGATGACACAAATAAAGAGGAGAGGATGTCTGCGATGTGAGAATAGTCCTCTAAAGCTAAGAGTCACTTTGTAAAAGAGGCACAAGATCTGTACTTTTGGAATTCTTTGAGACTTGGATGAATTTCTCTATGGAGAGATTGAATTTGCTCCAGCTAGCCCTCTGGGGTTACTGCTAATCCCAGATCACTCTAACTGAAATTCTCATTTTGAGGTTTCTAATACCACAGGAGGGCAAGAATTTAGCCTCTCACATCTGTAAGGGCTGGTTTCAGGTTAAATCCTTGTCGGTGATGCCTCCCTTTGCTTAACACCATTTTAAGTTTATTTACTTATTTAGTTTCATCGTCCCCAGAACCAGTGCTGTTCTTTGTGTATTCTGGACATATAATTTATCAATTTTATATATTGCTGATATATATTCTTCCAAACTGTAGTGCAAATTTTCTTTGTCTTGACGGCATTTTTTTTGTTGTTGTTCGTTTTTATTTAATTTTTTTTTTCTTTCAGTTTTTGGCCGGGGCTAGGTTTGAACCCACCACCTCTGGCATATGGGGCTGGTGCCTTACTCCCTTGAGCCACAGGCACCACCCAATGGCATGTTTTAATACGTATCTTTTTTACATTTATTCGTAGTTATTTGTTTTTCATGCTTATTCTAAATAAGATTCTTACTTGTCATGTAGTCAAGTTTGAAATCTCCTCTGTTTGGTTCTCTTTGAATCCTACTTAAGAAATCTTTGCTTACCCTAAAGTCACAAAGGCACTCCGTTCTAAAAATGCTGTCTTATTTTTGCATTTATATCTATAATCCTCCTGGAATGGATTTTTATGTACAGAAGGAGATAAGGATCAAGATTCTTTTCCCCTCTGTGCCTATCCAGTCAACCCAAAAGCATTTACTAGAAACTGTCTGTTATTCATCACTCGCAGTGCCATTATGGTCAAGAACCCAAGTGTCCACATCTGGGAGGTCTGTTTCTGGACTCCATTTCATCGCTTTCACTAGCTAGTCTCACGCCAGTACCACACTGCCTTCATTCCAGGAGCTTTTTAACAAGACTCGACATCCAGTAGAATCAGCCCTTCAACTCTGTTCTTTTTAAAGATCATCGTGGCTCTTCTGGCCCTTTCCATTTCCAGATTTTATAATCAGAGTGTCAATTTCCACATGAAAATCCTGAAGGCATTTTGACCATTGTCTTGAGTTTATAGATTGCTACAGAACGTCTAGAAAGAGCCTAAGGACCTACAGAATAGGACATTTTGATCACCAGCCCTTCATTAAGACGAGTTTTCATTTCCAGCTGCTCAAGCTAAACATCGAAATGGAATCTCTGGTACATTTATCCTTATCAATAAATTCCTAGCTAGCCTAATGCTCTCTTATATCATTGCCACATTCCTTTTCATATAAATTGGCAAAATATTGCAGTCCTTTTAGCAGTTATCTCCCTAGGTTAACTGTATATATCTCCCTAGAGCAGAGGTTAGTAAACTATGGTTTGTGCGCTAACCACCTGTTTTGATGAATAAAAATTTATCAGAATACAAACATGCTTTTGTTTATAGATTGCTTATATCTGCTTTTGTACAACCACATGTTTGAATGGTTACGATGGAGACCATCTGGCTTAGAAGCCTAAAACATTTATGAAATGTCCCTTTAAGAGAAACTTTGCCAACTCTCTAGTTACAGGTCAGGAAGCAATGAGAGATAGTGAGGATGCACTGGACGAGCTCTTCAAGTGAGAACGCTGTAGGGTAGTGATTTTCAACCGGGGTGCTGTGACCCATCTTAGGTGTGCCACCAAAATTTTAAAGATCCTTAATTAGGTTATATTTGAAAGACGTGCAAAGCGCAGTAAGTATATTCTTTTTTTCTTACTTTTTTTTTTTTTATCAACATCACTTAAGTGTGCGGCAGAAATTTAACTATAGGTTCAAGTGTACTGTGAGATAAAAAAGGTTGACAACACTGTGGTAAGGCTTTGGCGTGTAGGAGGCTAACTCAGATGGGAAGGCGTTCTCTCCTCTCTCTGCCAGGAGGAGGAAATTCAGACGTTCAGGTTTCTCAGTGTCATTGAAATTCACACAAATGTCGTCATCTCAGTATTCAAGATCCCACTCTTTTTCTATGAACGCATTAATTTTTGCATAAGAGACTTGACAAGGCTGTGAACGCAGTTTATGTTACGGTTCTGTAACCCTCCGTCGCACACTTTAAATCCCTTCTTTTTTCTTTTCAGATTATGTCAATCCTGGAGACTGGAAGAGATAAGAGATTTTCATCAAGGAACCCCAAAGAATTTCTGGTTCCCTAAAGTTACTTCGAACCAGGATTTTTAAACGTCCTGAGCTTGTCATTTTTCTGCAGTGAGATCTCCAGGACACTCTGAAGCGGATAATTCACCTTACAGTGACTGCAGTCCCCATGTCCACCATGAAGTGCTATTGTGGGTAACAATAATCTTTAAGAGAATATTTTTCATGGATGACTCCAGGGTTCTGTTTTCTAGTAGTGACGAGGTCATCCCTGAGCGCATATGTAAGTAGGCAAGTAGAGATTCCGTCGGGGTCTGTTGCTGGAACCAATACTGAAACTGTATTCTTTATCAGTTAGGGTTCAAATCAGAAACTGCTATCAATGTTTAATGAGAAGAGATTTAGTAGGTTCATTTAGATGCTTTTAAAAATACTAGAAAGAAGGGGCAGTGCCTGTGGCTCAAGGAGTAGGGCGCCGGCCCCATATACCAGAGGTGGCAGGTTCAAACCCAGCTCCAGCCAAAAACTGCAAAAAAAAAAAACTACTGGAAAGAGGCTGAGGCAAGAGAATTGCTTAAGCGCAAGAGTTTGAGGTTGCTGTGAGCTGTGACAGCATAGCACTGTACCCAGGGCGACTGCTTGAGACTCTGTCTAAAAAAAAAAAAAAAAAAAAAAAAAAACTACTGGAAAACTTGGAGAGAGTGAGGGTTGTGGCGAGTTGTTGTGAGCTTCCAGAAATGTAAAGAATTTAGGACTCCCAGTGACCTGCCGTAGATGGCAGCTGCCTACAGTCCAAGAGGCTTGCTGCCTGGAAGCTGCTGTAGATTTTTTATCTGCCTTCTGCCCAAGAGTCCACGTGTCCCAGCTAGTAAATAATGACTTCCACGTTTTTTCTCTTCCTTGAATATCACACAAGTGCCTTTCATCAGCAGATTCTAAACTGCCCCTGCCCCTAACAAGGGCTTCTTGGAAATGTAACGTTTGTGCTTCTAAACTTTGTGCGCCAGTGATCACTCCTCTATAAATAAAGGACACTTAATTGGGACGCGGTTAGGGAATATTAAAGGCAACATCGAATGAAAATATTTCCCAAAATAGTCCGTGGGATACTGGTGCCATGATGTGATTTGTCAATAAAGGATTCCATAGCCAAAGACACTTAAGAAAAGTGAAACACTTGAGCCCCTTCACTGAGAGCTGTAGTGTGTATAGTTATATTAAAGGGTCTGAGACAACCTGTAATAAAGAAACCTCATTTTTTTTCTTAATACAGCATGTCCCCAACATTGATAACTATTCTTGTTCCCCCCAAACCTGCCTACCCCAGGGTCTGAAAACATCCTAAAGAATACACTTAAGGAAATGCCCACAATGAACCATTTCTTCTTGTTCATTTAGTGGGATTTGTGTTAGATGGCAATTGACTAGGAGTGTTAGTAAGAGTTCAATGAGAAATTGCAAAGGCAGCGATCCCAAGCCAACGTATGTATTTAACGTATTTAACGTAGCCTGAAGCCAATTTGAAAGCATCTAGTGCAATTATTTATATTGCAACAAAAGTATGTATATATGAAGTCATATGGAAGCTGAAATGTATCCAGGGCCAGTTATGTAATATGTACCAATGGGCATGCAAGCCTAGGGAGCCCTATTACATCCTCGGAGGTACAAGAAACAGAGTAGCACGTTGCCTCAGCATTCTAAAGACAAGGCACATATTAATAAATTGATGAGATTATTCAAAGTGTTCCTCTTCCTGGAACTCTTTCCAATCATGTACAGTGTGACTCTTCTCCTGATCCAGGGCGAGGTGCTAGTTCAAGCTGTCATTCCTTACTTGCTACTAAAAAGTTTTAATTAATACAAAATTAACGCTTGAAATGGAGTGTGGCAAAGGACTTCAAAATGTAGTACTGACTTTAAGTGAAAAGAGCAACACACAACAAGTCCCATAGTGTGTGACTTCATTTATATTAAGTGTCAAGAGTAGGTAAGCCCATAGAGACGGAAGGCAGATTAGTGATGGCCGGGGGTTGGAGAAGGGGGAAGTGGGGATGACTGCTTAACAAGTGCGCAGTTGCCTTTGGAGTGATAAAAACATTTAGAAACCAGATAGAGGTCATGGTTTCACAACATTGTGAATATACTAAATGTCACTGACCTATATACTTCAAAATGGTTGATTTTATGGTATATAAGTTTTACTTCAATTTCCTTCCTTTCTTTCTTTTTTAGAGACAGGGTCTTGCTCTGATGTCCAGTGGCACAATCATAGCTCACTTTAACCTTGAATTCCTTGAATTCCTGGGCTTAAGTCTCCCTTTTGCCTCAGTCTTCCAAAGTGCCAGAATTACAGGCATGAGCCACTACCTCAATTTTTATTTTTATTTATTTTATTTTTTATTTCAGATTGATATGAGGGTACAAATATTTCGGCTACATTGTTTTCACTTCCAAGGTAAAGTTCAAGTTGTAGTTAAATCCTTCACCCAGGGGTGTGCTATATTCCCCAACATTGTATACCTTTTTTTTTTAGAGACAGAGTCTCACTTTATCACCCTCAATAGAGTGCTGTGGCGTCA